GGTGATGAGTCAAGACTTGGGTGATGAGTCAAGGCTTGGGTGAATAGTCAAGGCTTGGGTGATGAGTCAAGGCTTGAGTGATGAGTCAAGGCTTGGGTGATGAGTCAAGGCTTGGGTGAGTGCTTGTTGAGTCAAGGCCTGGGAGTTGAGCTTGGGGCCTGGGGATGCTTGCGCACGGCCATGCGGCCAGACGTTCATGGTTTTTTTTTGTGTGCAAGGACACACTTTTTGAGTGAAGGACAACGTCGTTACGTGTGGCACATATTTAATATATATAATATGTATATATGTATTTTATATGTAGGAACTATTTCATCAACACTAACATTCCGTGGATGGTTTGTAATTCTGACATGCCCAGCGGTTCCGTATCCGTACACCTCCAAGTCCCACCTTCTCAGAAGGTGTTTAGACCCTCCTGGCACCCACCCCAGTCCCACCTTCTCAGAAGGTACTTGGAGGCCTAGGGTATACGCATTGCCGGAAATCCAGCAATAGGGCTCTGCAGCGCGCACTTGGTGCACTTGACATACCTGAGGGGTGGTTCTACTTGCCCGGCGGCCCAGTGCCGCCAGCGCGAGCAGTTCATGCCATGCCAAACAACATGAGGAAATACAACTGACAGGTTATGCCTTTTCTCACTGCTTTTACACCATGGCCATTACACCAGGCTCAGACCTGCATGTTGAATAGAATAACTATTATTGCTTTTTTTTTTGAATAGGCTTCAATCGCAAGGGCACCAACATAGGACAAATAGGGGTCAGTCATGTAATCAACAATCGCGGTTGGAGTATGTTGGACTCCATACCTACGTATTCATTGATCATCAGTTTCGTCAACCTTTATTGTTGCGGAGGTTAATCAGTTTTTTTTGTTGCAGCTCGACTGAGAGACCGCGTGTTTCGGTGAACCAGCTCGACTGAGATACCGCAACCCGAACCAGCGCCGTGGTTCCTCGGTGGAAGAGGATCGCCGGTCATTGCCCTTTGGCGGCAGGACATGTTCCCATTTGGGTTCCAGTCGCACTCCTCAGAAGGTATTAGGACTCTTGAAACCCACCCCAAGCACCTTTGAAACGAAGGTACGACTGGAGCCCCAAGGCTACTCTTGAACAGAATGCATACCATGGAGGGGGTCGGTGTTTTGGGAAAAGGTGGCTGCAAACCATCATCATCCTACTGGTATTCGTAGACGTTAATTCCTAGTGGCTTATCCCATTCATGGTCAATTTCAGAATTTGAGGGTCATCTCAGACATGGATCACTTGAAATTTATGAATGTTTGGGTGGTTGGCAGGCAAAGAACTCATGCATTAACATCATCAAACATTACGAATGAGATGGTTTCTCACATGCTAGTGCCTTAGAAACACAGTTCAGGAGAATGTTTAGGATTTTGATGGTTCCCCTCAAAGTGCACTGGCAGCCATCCAGCTATTGTGCCACGAGTTTGAAGACTTTGCCAGCCATGACAGCCCCTTGGGGGAGAGTCACATGCGAAGCGGGAGTCCGGACTCCACACCGGTATTGCTGCTTGTTGCTTTTCCACAACGGTAGTGTTTGTTCTCACTTCGGTGTGCGGGAATGCCAATTCCTTGAAGAACGCCGGAGTGATGCTGGCAGCACCGTGAGCTGATCAGCAAAGAGGTCCTTCGTTCTCAAGTGAACACACCTGATTTGATGGATGTGGGGCCCTTAATTTTTCCAACTCGCCAAGTCCGTCCCAGCTGCGCTGAACACCGGGGTGACCATCAAGATCGGTGGGAGGAACGACCCAAGAGATGCATCCAACAAAGGGGTGGGACTGGGGTGGGTGCCAGGAGGGTCCAAACACTGAACCTGAGGAGGTACGACTGGAGGTGTAGGGTAAGAACATCACGACCAGCACCTTCCACCAACAGGTCTTCGAGTTTTGGAGGCGACCGTCTGTAGACTTGCTAGCCAGTGGTGGTGTTCCCGAACTTGGGTTCGGTCCTGGTATGTAATTGGATCTCTTTGATGACCTGTAACAGTCTTATTAAGCCTGATTAATGGTATATGATATACCTGGAAAGGCGTATGAACACTTAGCCGTATGGACAGAAAAACAATACCGTACAAAAGCGTACCCATATGAAACCCAAACTTTATCAACATTTTATCGACAAAACCCCAAAAAAATATATTGATAAAACCCAATCAAACCCAATATTCGGAGGAATTCCAGAAAATTTGTCCATTTGACAAAAAAGGCCGGATGCACGGATTTTTTGTGCGAACGTGTTTGAACAAAAAAAAATGCACATTTGGATTCCCTGGTACTTATATATATATATTCACTTTTTAGAGATGTCGGGCTGCAACTGAACCATCATCATCCACTGTTACTGGTAATAGGATAGAGCCAACACACTCCATGGGGCTGCCATTTTTATAATATATAAATTATACCTACGTGTGGGGTGGTTGATTTATGGGTCATGCAGGCCAAGCTAGGCACAAAGTCGGAACACAGGACAGTGTGCGTGTGTCACGCCCAAATGCGAGGTGTGCTCCTGAATTTACGCACCTCCCAAGAAACACGAATGCAACAGTTGAAACAAAGACTGGAAAGCCAAGCGTCAATACCCCACCGGCACTCACCTATACCTTTAAAGACATGTGAAGTTGATGCAGAGATCATGAAACTGCACAAAGCTTAAGAGCCACACAAGTGGCACATGCACCACTGATTAAGCATGAGCAGAGAGAATGTGAACCAATCCGAAAACAGGAACAGTTCCTCATATTCTATGTACTTCTGGATGACTCGCTCGCTCCGATGCTGCAATTCCAACTCCCAGGATGGGAAAGCTACAGGGGTCGAAAAACCATTTTCGACATGCCCAACGGGCCACTTGATTTGGAGAACCCTTTTTCAAGGCATCAACATCCGCTAACCGAGCACGTGGTTAGCAACATGCAAAAGTTCGAGCACGTGGTGTAGCTAAGTCTTATGACAATGAGTAAACCACCAATCATGTTTCTGAAAAAGGCCAGCCAAAACCGCTGTGCCCTTCATGTGGGTGCCACGCAAAAATAGGTCGCCTGGGGTGCGAGAGGACCTCCGACTCCCAGCAGCTCAGGCAGATGAGTCAACGACTTTGAGAACGTCCCGGTCCGGCCGTCGACTTTGAGATCGTCCAGGCTCCCAGAGGCCACGGGATGGACACTTCACTGCCACGCTTCGACCCGAAGGATCCCCCAAGGTCACCGCACACCCACGGACGGACACTATATATATATATAATTATATATATACCTAGAATCTGAGTGACCCCTGTTTTGGAGTCAAAACATGGTCTTTACCTATCGCCCACCGAACCTGAGGAGATAGGACGAACTCGAAGCCCTAGAGTGTTCCAATGGGTCGTATGATGTTGCTACCCTGACCCTAAGGGTCCGGGACCATCCTGAGGATCTCCTTTTGCCCCAAAGACCATTCTCAGGAAGTACTTTCACCTCCAAGACCATCCTCAGGATGGTCCTGGACCCTTAGGGTGAGGATCTGAACGGACCCTCCAAGTGGTCGAACCCTCTAGTTCAAGGGTAGCTGGGGCCCCGAACCAAAACCGGATCCTTAGGTTACAGTGGTGTCCGAGGTTCCCGAGGTTCGACATGGCACTGGCACCTCAAGATGTTTGCATGGCGGTCCGCTGTATGGCGCTGGGAGCGACCACGAGGTTCGGGAGCGACCACCACGGGGGTATCTGCCAAGTACATAGCCACACACACTCCATGGGACTGCCATATATGCCTACATTGCGGTGGCTTTGGGGGTCAATGTAGGCATACAGGGCATACATGGAGTGTTTGGGACAGGGAGCCAGGTCACTCGGATTCCCCGGCCGCCGGGCTTTTGAGACGGAAAGGTAGCTGTGGCGACAGAGCCTACAGGTCCAGTCTGACCGTCTTTGACCCAGGTCTTTGACGTCCTTAAGTAGTTGTCTTTGTATGACCACATCCGAATGGTTTAAAGGTCATTGACCTTTAGGGGGGGGGGGTTCTTGCTTAGGGACCTTGGGTGCAGGGTGATTTTTTGGGAGGACCCCCATGGTGGTTTTGGGGGAGGCTTCTTCGGGCCAAGAAAATGGCTCTCAACTTCCCGGACACTTGTGCAGAGTATATATAAATAACCTGATTGACCCTTGTTTTGGAGCCAAAACATGGTCTTTTCCTATCAAAACAGGGGTCAAATGGGTTCTAGGTATATATACGAGTTTTCTTCCAGTGAGTTTTGTAAGACCAGCCAGTCAGTCTCAAGCAGCCAAGCAGTTGGTCTTTTGTTTGTTGGTCTTTTGTCCGACAGGTATTGTGGTTGCTGATTCGAAACGAAATGCCTATTTGGGTCTACATGACATCAGCGCAAGATGCCTATTGAAGCAACAGTGTTAACATGTTAAAGTCCCCCAATTGATGTCATCTATTACTATTGATGTCCATCTATTGATTTCATGCCGTTTCCTCCTCAGGACTTCTTTGGACCTCGTGGCTCAAATCCCAAGTAGTGGCTTATACTTTATACAAGACTTTGCCATCAAGAATGGTCTTTGGAAATTGAGCCAGGAGTGGTTCTGGGGAGAGGGCAGACTGTGGCAGTTGGTCGCCGACCGAGGCTGAGGCCATGAGCAGCACGCTGGCATTGCATGGCATGACCGTCCAGGAAGGACTGCACTGCCAGCATTGATTTGTCTCACAGTTCCTAGGTCAAGTGCTTGACTTTGGCCTTGGGTCCTCGGGCCGGCCGGAGTTGGCGTGGATCTGCGCACCACGCAGCATGTGGGACCTTAGTCCGTTGAGTCCGTTTGTACCCACAGGTTTCTTGAAGAGTGCGGTGAACTAACGTCAAAATCCTTCAAGGTACAACCCGCTAGACATCGGGAAACAAGTCCATTTCGAAATGATTTGCTTTAACTGCGGTTTGATCACTTTCAGGCAGCTGCTAGTAGCCATCCTTCTATTTACCGTGGCCAGTTCGTGTGTTGGCTTTCCGGCCCAAGCTTCCCGGCCCCGTCCACGGACGAGGAGTCCGCTTTGTTGAACTCGTTCGTGCGAGCGAAAGAGGGCCATGAAAAAGACGAGTGCTTTCCCGCAGTGGAGCCCACCTCGTGTGTGACCAGAGTGGCCGACCGTCATATTCGGTGATATTAGGAGGTCAACAGCCTTTTTCATATATGGAAAGGGATTTAAAGGCTAAAGGTTTATGAATCCATATGGAAAACTGTTTGCTAGGAAGTACATTGAAAAGCTACGTAGAGGCACTCTTATGAAAACCAAAAATACGGTCATTTGTTATGGTTTATGAATCCCAACCTGAGTCTACGCATCGGACTGTTTGCTAGGAAGTACCGTGGCAACGCCTGGAAAAAGCCCTGAACTCGGTGGACCTTTCGACGTTCCAGGGAAAATGAGGGGGTCAGCCCAAGGCTTCAACTACCTCCGTTTCGGGGTGTGGGGGGGGTGTTGGGGGGTTGTTGAGGGTTGTCCCTACCTTCTGATGTGGTTGGAGCCCTTCATGTTGCGCGTTCGCACATGGGATATGATATAGGCCACAGGCCACATAGATGTTCATGACTAGGGTTCACGAGGCCGGACTAGCTACTCAGATCTACTAAGGACACTACTCTCAATACCGATCGAACACACTGTCAAGGTGGAGTCAGGCGAAAGTCAGGTCAAAGTTCCAGATACCTACTATACCCTAAGAATCATTGGACCCTCCTATGGAGGGTTTTGACCCTGCATAGCAGGGGTTTGGACCCTCAAAACCTTCACTTTTGAGGGTCCTTGATTCTTAGGGTAGGTACATACTACATCCACCCATATCCACCCCAGGTACCAGCACCTTCATTCCAGGGTCACCTGGTTTCGCCCCAGCCCACGACTAATAGGGACCTCCAGGTCCAGGACACCCCTGGAAACCAGGGCAAACCAGCGTCCTACGTCTCCAACTGACGTGACGGACGTGGTCCGTGGGTCCGGTGGTTTGGTCACTCTGTGCTGGTGAAACTGCGAAGATCCCGTCAGAGCAATCCTTCTCCCGTTTGGCCTCCGTTTTCGTTTCCGAACCGCTTCGGAGAACGACCGGGACGACCGGGGTGGGCCCGGGTGCCATGTTCGGGTCGAAGAGCACCGAACCGTTTCGGTAGGACTGGAGGTGTAGGGTCTCGAAAATGGGAGTTGTAGATCCGTTTGGGCTCCTGGCCGCCCCCTCCTGAAGTTCGGTGGGCCAGGGGTGGGTGGTTTTGGGGTTGGAGCCCACCGAACCTGAGGAGATGGGGCGAACTCGGAGCCCTAGGGATTGTTAAAGTATGTTGAAGTTAGCTGTATGCATTGGAAAACCACAGCAGGGCCTATGATTTTGTGTTTAGTTTGTGTGTGTCCCTCCCAATCTGTGCTCCCAGCTTTGTTTTCGGCTGGACCCATCATATGCCTATGCCCTTTGTTATCCTTTGTTAACTTTGTTAATTTGCCTGTTTGCCAGGCAGCTTGCTTTGAAAACAGAACTAGGGGAAGACCCTTTTCCCTCTCATACCTGTGCAATTCCTGTGGATTGGCTTGCGTTGGCTGCGTTCCTCTTGAGGCTGCGGCCCGGTTTCGTTATCGCGCCGTCGTACCTGTCCACGACAGGTGCCTCCACCTCCACCTGGTGGGCAATGGGTCAGGGGATTCCAGATGGTGGAGTGTGACTGAAGTTTGGTCCAGCTGTGGCTGGAGGATAAGATATATTTTATTGTGATTACGCACGTGCAGTGATACTCGTATCATCACATAGATGACATAGATTTTTATAGCCGTTCAGTTGTACTGGTTGAATTTAACACCCACTGGCAATATCCCGGGAGCTCCAACTACCTTTTGAGGAGATGTTTGAGGTGTGTTGGCGCATTCGGAAGGCTTTGAAGACGCCTTTTTTCAACACTTTGAAGCTTCAATAGAGCCACACCTTAGGTCTTTGGCCTTTAGCACGGCGGATTCTGTTTTGAAGGTGTACTCCGAATTGTCGACTCACTTAATTAAGTGGAAGGCCTGCAAGGATGACTTGATAAGAAGGCCGAGGACTCGGTTGTGCCATGTGCTCCTGCGATTCATTCTTAAGCCGTTTTCGTGCCGAACCTCAGCTGATTGCCCTCCCACCCCCAGTCGGTGCCAGACACCACCTGGAGGTACCAGTCGTACCGGAGGTACTGAGGTACTTATGGTGGATCCATCAATCCCTATAGGCCTAGGTATGTATACCGAACCCATTGACCGTCTTGTTCTAGGACGACAAGACCATGTGGACAGGCTCCCAAACGGGTCGATCAGCTTCCCTAAGGATCCGCATCCAAAACAACAACTCAGGGTTTGCTTCGGGGCTGTCACCCTTGAACTAGAGGCTTGGACCCCGACCCCCATGGAGGGTCTGGACGACCGGATCCTTAGGGTTCTACCGAATCGCAGCAGCTTCATGGACTTCCCGACCCTCCGAGGCTCCGCCACCACCGGGTCCTCCCACGGCGTCCTGAAGGCGGTGGCCGGCAGCTCCGCGGTCCGCCTGGGTGTAGTGCGCGGCGCGGCCGTGCGCGGGGCCGAGGGCGGCATGTGGTGGAGGTACGAGCTTTGTGAGAGTCTGTGAGTTGACCGTTGTGAAGAAAGTATTCACCCTAAGACCATTAAAAAAAAAAAAAAACTGATTGACCTGGTTTTGTAGTGTAAAATCCTGCAGTAGTTGATTCGGTAAAGCCTATTAAATTAACGGTTGTTGGAAGGGTTCAAAAGCATCAAGACATCCGAAGGTCGGGTATCTCCCAGGGGTCCCAGTCCTCCCAGTCCTCCAAACCTGAAGGCAGGTCAGGTGGCCGACCCGGAGCACCTCAATCAAGGCGTATACGGTTCCTGAACGGTGTATGTTGTTAGTTGTCAGTTGTTTCTCCTGGATGTTTTGTGGTTGTGCGGAAGGTTGATTTTGATCCTTTGGCTGGCTGGATGTATGTGGATGATCCCGAAACTTTGGACACTTGGACGCTTTGTTTGTTCTTCTCCCCGACTGCCCAGCGGTGGGTCAGAACCCGACTCGACTACTTCGACAGTCGGTACGCCTGGTGACTCACCGGTCCGAACGTGAA